AAAATAAATTTTTTCATATTTAAATATTTATAAGTTAATTTAAATTTGATTCAAAATTTGATTTAAACTTGACTCAACTCAAATAAATTCAAGTCAAAATTGAATCGAGTTAAACTCAAGTTGAGTCAAATTGAGTCAAGTTTAAAATTTATATAACTCAAATCAAGTCAAGTTGGAAAATTTTATAAAATAAATTTGACTCGACTCAACTCGAAAAAAATGAGTTGAATAGAGTTGATCTTTAAACTCAACTCGATTTGACTCATTCAGAACTCTAGAAATACATATACTATTGTCTTGCTGATCATAAATAAATTTGTTAAAAATTTTATTTGACTTAGGTTATCCAGAGGTTAAACTATAACAGATTGGGTCAGAGTCAGGTTTTATAAATATTAACCTGAGTATTTGCACAGGTTGGTTTTATAAACAGGTCAAGTTTGAGTACATCTTCAAACCTGATTTGATTCAACCTTTTCAGAATACTATTTACACCTAAAGATATAAATGCAAGAACCTGATTATAAGTTCTTATTTGAATAACATAAGGTTCATCTAATATTGAATCATTTTGTGTAAGTAAATTATACAAAATTTGTGAAGCTGGAAGAAGAGGTGCTAATACTATCTGTCCATTTAAACAACTGAATCCTTTTGTTTCATTTTTCCATTTTAAAGCATAACAGTATTTATAAATATTATTCATTTTTTCAAAAATATGTCTACTGTTTTCTATTTTATCTTCTGTATAATTATCTATATTGTAATGTCTTATCTTTAAAAATTTGACTATTAATTTTTCTTTTTTTGCAATATATTTATTATGATCATAAATTTTTTTTTATTTTTTATTTGCAATATATCTATTGTGATCGTAAATCTTTTTTTATGCTTGTGAACTTATTTTACTTGATAGTCTAGCTTCTACACTTTCTTCTCTTGCTTGTCGATCAAGAAATCTTTTTCTGGCTTATCTCTTATTAGTTTACTTTTGTTTTTTTTCTTTTTCAGTATCATTTTCACATTTTGCATATTTAGCTTCAATTTCTTCTAATGTTGTAAATATTATCATCTTATTTGTAGATAAATTTATAAATTTTAATTAGAGCTCCGAACAGGTTGGTTCGGGTCGGGTCAATCAAGTTACCTGAACTGAGAGGATCAGTTCAGGTCAAACAAAAATCCGACCTGATTTAAA